CAGACGCGCCCATAACAGTTGAATGGCGCGCTTGAGATGACTGTAGGACCTGACTATTCCGGGCTGGGGCGTATGATGCCGACTGGGAACCCATCGCCGACGGCCTTGTTGGGAGCAGAGCAGGGCGATATAGGAATCAAAGACCGGAAGAGGTATTTGCACCAAGTGCTGGTACAGCGGAGATAGACTTTTCGTCATATTCTCGACAGCATCTTTGCGCAGAGGGCTGTCGTTGAGATACTGGGTGGCTCGATCCAAAGAAGGAGCGTTTCGGATCAACACAGTGAGGCATTGATTAACTGGCCTCTGTCCACTTCGCACCATCCTTTCGTAGAGCTCCTGTGCCGAGCAGGGTCTGACGCGCGCACGTTCCAACTCAGTCAGATTGGCAAGGTGAGGTGGGTAGGTTTCCTTAGCATCGCCTGGGAGGACTGCGGATGATGCGTCAACCTCAGCGGCGTAAAGTTTCGAAAACATCTCCGCATAAACTTGGAAGTCTGGTTGCACACCTGACATTGGAGGTTCGTTGAAAATTTGCCACGCTTCAAAAGCGTTTCTCGTCGCCTTGACCTTGGCAGCCCAATATGCAAAGATTTGAAGAGACCTATGCTGATGTGTCCACAGCCCGTGAGGCGCTGACCGCGTCTGAATGGTTACGGCCTTTCCAGGTAAAGCTCCCCCAAGAGTATCGATGGCATGATCAACCAGATCGTGAGAATAACCCTCTGACTGCTTGAGAACGCCGGCTTTGACGCTCCTGCTGAGGTACTGCGCCTTGTCTCTTGCTTCGTCGGTTCCATCCAGTTGTTTTATGTAGGGTGGCCAGGTCTTTGCGTACCGGAAAGCAGGTAATTTTTCCTCTTCTGACTTTTTGAGACCCATCAGCACCATCCGAATGGCTCTGTAACTCCATCTATTGATGACGAGAGGCCGTTTGAGACCAGCTGAGTAGCCGAGTAAGATTTTCTGTGCCTTCCAGTTATGTGGTAAATTGGCCAGAGGAGACAAGACCGGCGTGCGACGAAAGGTGCACAGCGCGTAATTAAAGAGTGCGCACCGAATCCCATAGCCAGTGCGTCGACCGGTTGCCTTTGGTATTTTGTCGGGGACCATTTCAACATAACTCACCACCAGGCGGGCGATCATGGGTAGAGACGATGGGAACGTCGTCAGACAGTGATGCACAAGCCTTCTGATGACAAGCATGAAGTGCGATGGCGTCATGTTGCCCAAGCTGTCCAGTGTACGGCCCGAGAGGCCTGAAGCTACCTCCTCTATCCAAGCTCTTCGGGACTCTAGACTCGAATGGATATAGGATTTGGCGAAATAATCATATATCTTGACGAGAGACGACCCCTTCAGCATCATCTCGTCAGAGCGAAGGATGGCCATGAGGACGAAGATGGGTACGAAGCGGTCGCTAGCGACGAGCCTGTCCACCTTGGTGTCGGTGTTGTCTGCTTGCAGGATCCAAAGCCAGTGATACACATCTTCCTCTTGGATTCCCTTCATAGCGAATATATTGAGCCGTTTCCTCCATTGCAAGGGATCCGCAAGGAGACCTGCTAGGCTCGTCTTCAAGAAAGCCTCGTCTCGCCTCAAAACAAATTGATGCGCGAGGACGGCAAGTCTGGGGCTGCTGGATTTGGCTAGCTTGAGCGACTTGATCCAGGTGTCTGTTGTATCGGGACTGTCTTTATTTCGCAGCCATTGTACGAGAAGATTGGTCGGGGGGTCATTCAGAGAGTTTTGACGTTTAGCTCGAACAGCCCGCCAACGCCTCGGCGCCCGCTGACTCTCGGTAGATGGGCCATAGCGAACGTCTGAGATATCGGGCTCTGAAAGCTGGACGGCAGCATGGGCAAAGCGTCGAAAGCAGGCGGTAGTTGCGGAGGGCTGAACAAAAGAATCAGTATGGAATACGTGCCGTTATGAAGAAGCCAGCGCGCAGCGCAGGACGAGGTCGTGGGCTTACGAGGAGACGAGGGGCAATTGCATGGGACTTTCGAGGCCAGCTCACGAATTGCAGGAACGGCCGATGCATAAAGGGCGGCATGCACTCATTTTGAAGGCCGAAAGGACGCGCTTTCAGTCCTTTAAGGCACGCTGTACAATCGATAGTAAAGGAATTGGCTTGGTTCTAGTTGGGTTGGAGGATATAAATTGCAGGGGACCCAGCAAAAAAGTTGGCCGCACTCGCAGGCAAGCTTGAGCTACTGTGTAGTCGTGTGTTACATAATCCTCCCGATGTACCTATGTACCTTTTCAGATACCCACCCGTCGACATCCAAGGGACAAACGGCGGCGGCGATCTACTTCATGTACCAAATGCTGAGGGGCGCTGCAGACCTGCAGTCCACTTTCAGACCACCTGTACCAACATGACCTCTTCCCGGCGGCCATCTCGCTGCTGATTTTTGTACCTCCGCGTCCACAATGCCGCCTCTCAAGCGCAAGCGACCTCACGACACGGCGCCGGAAGTGCAAGCACCGCGCAAGGAGGGCGCAGCTCCACCGCAAGTGAAGGCCACCTCCAGGCCCGCATCCACTGTCACGCGTCGTGCCACACGTCAGACCTCAGACGCGGACCCGCCCCCGATCCCTTGGGCTGCCGATCCAGAGCCACGCCGACGGCGCAAATCAATTGTCAGCCATGAGCGACCTAAGGATCGATACCACCAAGAAGGTGATGAGCAGCAGAAGCCAGATGTGTTGGTGAAACAGGTCACCGGCTCGCATAACCATGGCGGGCGATCGGTGCCCGTGTCCGTGCCAGCCGCAATGGGCAAGCGAGGTCGCCACCCATCTGCGCCCGAAGAACATCATCGGCCCGTGCTGCGGACCATGAATCAGGCCGATCCGGCCTTGGTCCCGAAGCCTGTCATGAGAGACAGATCCCTCCGTCACGCACGGCACGGCAATGAACACTCACGCGACGAACACCCTCCCCACAGTGACACAAACGGCCCTGTCGACCCAATACAGTTCGAAGCACCGTCTGCTCCCCTGAGAGGCCGAGCTTCTGCTGTGGGTCCGTCCCAGCCTTTCCCCAAGCCGACGCGGAACCATCACCAGACCAGTCCTACCTCGACCGCGCCTATGATGACCCAAGCTCAACCTCGATCGGCAAAGATCTCGGATCACGTCGCTGCGAATATTAGCAAGCCCGTCCTTCCGGCCGTTACCAATTCGGACGCGACCCAACCGCCACCGCGGCATGCGAAAAAACAGACCCCCGCCAAGCAGAACTCGGACCAGAAAAGACCCGGCATCATTGAACGAAATATCGACAAAGTCGTATTTGGAAACGTCTGTTTCTCCACCTGGTATCATTCACCCTACGGTACGGAAGCATTAGGAGACATTTCTGGGAACAGTACGAGCGCTAATGGTATTAATGGTATACAAGATGGCGGCAATAAGGAAGAGGCATTATCAAATCCTAATCGAAGAACGAAAGAGGAAAAATTAGACCGGCTTTACGTCTGTCCGTCCTGCTTCAAGTACTCAAAAGAGTTGGTTCCGTGGTGGCAACACGTCCACCAGTGCGAGAGGCGGTCTTACGTTCCGGGTAGGAAAATTTACACACATCCTCAGAGACAGACTAGGCCATTATCGACACATGGTGCAGCTGCAACCACAGCCGGGACCAAGGGACCAGGACGGAAACGAAAGGCCTCAGACACCGTGCCATACAGCTTTGAGGAGGAAGGCGAAGATCAGGGTGAGTGGTCTATATGGGAGGTAGATGGCGAGGAGGATGGCCTCTACTGCCAAAATCTCTCCCTTTTTGCCAAGCTCTTCCTCGACAACAAGTCCGTCTTCTTCGACGTAGTTGGGTTCAAATATTTTCTTCTCGTTCACACCACACCACCACCACCTTCGGAAGATGGCACCAGTATACCGCCGAAGCGCCAAGTTGTCGGGTTCTTTTCGAAAGAGAAGCTTTCCTGGGATAATAATAATTTAGCATGCATCTTGGTCTTTCCACCCTGGCAGCGCAAAGGTCTAGGGGCGCTTCTTATGGGAGTCAGCTATGAGATTTCGCGTCGAGAAGGTATGCTTGGAGGGCCGGAGAAGCCCATCTCCGACCTGGGCAAGAAGGGGTACAAGAGATTTTGGGCTGGCGAAGTTGCCGCGTGGCTGTTGGGTCTTGACACGAGTGGGGACGACGAAGTCGTTGTCGATGTGGATGAGTGTAGCAAGGCTACGTGGATCGTGCCAGATGATTGTCTGATGGTGTTGAGGGAGATGGGTGTGGTGGAGGAGGCAGAGGCGGGACCTCCCAAGAAGAAGCGCCCGACTGTTACACCGTCTGAGGGGGCGGACCAGGCTGGGGAAGCTGCTGTTCAGGAAGATGTTGAAGAGGAAGTGCAAGTTGTACCGCGAGTGCAGCTAACTAAAGACGCTGTATGGGCTTGGGTCCGCGCGAACAAGATCCCCTTGGAGGCCGCATGCGATCCGGATGGGTTTGTGGAAGGGTACGCCATCAAACAGACGGGAATTGAAGAAGACGAGGAGGAGTAGGAAGTATCTCGACCAGCGAATGGCGATAGATCTCTCTACCCGACCAACGACTTATGGGTTTCTTTCAGAGTGCTCAAGCAGTGTTAACAAAAGCCAAATTGAAATCCTGTATGGTGCGTTGAGCACATTGTGCTTGTCTCTTCTCTGTATCTTCTTCGCTGGCAAAGGCTTCGTGTTCTGTTGATCACTTGAGTGCGCGCACGATATGTGAAAGACAGAAGCGTCTCCACACTGTTTGGCCCACCACCCATCATGAAACCCACTTCTAGGAGACACTACTGACTCACTACGACAGAGCACACATCAAAAATCTGGAATTCTGTCAACCAACAACCCCAAACAAGATAGTCGAAAAAACTCCGTCGCAAACGAGCCTCCAGACAGAACACTGTGCCCGTCACCGTCCGCCCCCGCTGCACAGGCTGACCCCGAAGAGATACAAGCCCGGACAAAAAAAGCAAAAGGAGATCCTCCTCCTCCGCCTGGGCTCGAACCAGGAACCTCTCGATTAACAGTCGAACGCGCTCGCCAATTGCGCCACGGGGGATATTTTTACATGTCAAGTGATGGTCACGTGGACCCTCTGGATTGTTTATGACCCACACTGCGCATGACTTGGGAGCCACCGGTGTGGGTTCGTGATCAAGGTGCTGTCTTGTTCAGTCAGGGTCAGGTATAAGATCCATAGTTTGTCGTGTATGACGATCTCTATGCGATGCAGTACTCTTTCAAAAAATGGAATCCAGTCGAAATGATGACTGTCTTCGTTATGGCTTATGGACAAATTCAAACCTCTACTTCTATACAAATTGGACGACTTGGCCAAAGCTACTCTATTCAGTTGATATGTATACACAAAGTTCAATATGATATCTATCCAGTCCCAATTCCAATTACGACAATGCGCAAAGATGGCACGCAACGGGTTTCCTATGGCGATCTCAATTGGCAATTTCATGCCAGGGATGCAATAAGCGCATCTGCCATCGCGCACATCGTTCCTTCACGCACCTGCGATCTTGTTGCCCACTATGCAGACATCACAATCTGAGAATGATTGGTGTTAGCATTTGACCATTTAAATTATTAGTAATTTATCCTCTCACTGCCTTGCTCTGCAAAGCAGTCTGCATGCCAGCTGTCATAAATTAGAGGCTCTAGTGAAGTGGTCGAAACACAGCCATGCAGTCAGGTGTGTTGCTACGTTTACTTTTAAAGATTACCCGCGTTCCCAATCTCATAATTCCGTTTTTTTTAAAACACAAACCGCGAATATTGTTTTTCAGTCATCATACGCTCCACAAAAAAGTTCTCGCAGCTGGTCTCGGCCTCCTAGTAATCAGTCCTAGTGAAACGCTGCTGCTGTTCTCGAAAGTCGGCCCAGTTGCGCAACTCCTGCTCCTCATCGTCCGCCGTCATCTGGCCCACATTCGGACCATTGGTGCCCGGAGCCGCGCCCGTGCCCGTTTTCTCCAGCCGGGTGAGGATCTCTAGAAACGCCTTGAGATACTCCTCGTTCCGCAACTCATACTCGCCTTTGCGGTCGGGGCGGTCTGCAAGAAGCGTGGCTGCCACCTGACGGATCTTGCTGATGAGTGATCCACCGTTGGGCTCCAAATTGCACTGCTCAATCGACATGAGCACGTGGTACAGACTGTCTACGATTTCCGAGCGCTCCTGCAGAAACAATTCATCGATGCTGTCGTTGGTCTGCTCCGCAGCGGCTTGCACGGCTGCAGCGGCCAGGGAAGAGGAGGAAGCGTCGGCTGCGGTTCTGTAGACGATATTGCCGGAGGCGACTGCTTGCGCCTGGGCCCGTTGGTCGTTGAGGTGGATGTCCCGTAGTGTGAGATAGCGCTCGACATAATAAGATCGGGTGGCCAGAATCGATGCGTGTATGTTGGCCTTTTGAATCTCGAATTGCACACAACGCTTCGACGCCGCATCCTGCGCAAATAAATGACGAACGTCATCATGGGGCTGAGTGCTCGGATAGGCAGGCGGGACATATTGATAGTTCGGCGCGTTGCTTGACCCGTCTACACCTGCTGCCGGCAAAGGAAATTTCTTGGCTGAGAGGCGATTGACGTCGAGCTTCAACTGCGCCGGGAGATTGTCGAGAACTGCCTTCACGTCTCGGAGAGCCGTGTGCAGACAGTGCTTTTGCTGCTCCCAGGTATAAGCCGACATGCCATGTGCAAGCTCTATTCGTACAAGATTCTCCATCGTTCGATATACATTACCGCACCTGACAAAACCGGTGATGGTGGAGACGCTGCCTTCAGGTTGCGGAAGGATCCTGTCGGCCAGAATGTGAGCATCGTCAACCTCGACGGGGTAGTCCGGACCATTGTGGTTGGTAGTGTCGGGAGGAATGATCAAGTCTCGTGACGACCCATTCATTTGCGCCATGGAACTTGGGACAGTCAGCATTGACAGTGGAATGGAAGTCAAGATCCCATCTTACCGAACTCCCAGGAAGATACACCAGTAGATGCGCTTTCCTATCTCATAATTGATCAAGTCCATGGGCTGTTCCATCGTGTCAGGGCCATAAGTGATTGACGTGGGAGGGGACCCCTTCTTGTGAAACCCCAATTCTCGCAAGAAACCAAGCGACTCTGTGAGGAACCGACAACATGGATTATACCGCATCGTGTAGCCCGCAGCAAGACAGAGAAAGTAACTGATGGCGGCATCATTCACAGTCACTACCTCCTTCATCATCATCTCCGTAGAACGAAAGGCCAGGGCTACGTTCATGCATCGGTCGACCAGCATAATCGACCGGGGAAATTTCTCGTAGCTATGTGAAGACTTGAGGTGCAGGCGAGCGCAGCGCGGGAAAGAGGCAACCAGAGCGGCGATCATGCTGGCTAATAAGGATAGAAATTCCGGGTTTGTGCGGTCCTCGCGGTTTTTGAAAGCCTCGCGAAACGTAGGCTCGTGGGGGAACGGAGTCAGAGGGTGAATATAAGTGAAGAAGTCGTCAACGAGCAACTGGAGAACGCCGAGTGGCGCAATACACTGCTCAGCGTCCATGACAAACTGCCCATTTGGTGGAGCGCTTAGTGAGACCAGCACCTGCGCGGCGTTCTGGGCGGGAGGCGTCGTGTGAGTCTGCACTGGCGACTCATCCTCAACTCGCTGGCGCTTCATGTGTTCCGCCTGTCGCGCAGCCTCCGCAGCTCGGTTGGGCGGCCCTCTTCGCTTCTTCTGGCGGTCATATGTGCAGGGCACATTCAGATCAAGGCATGGCTGACATGGTGGTACACCTCCTTGGCACTATGTTGAAAGGTAAGCATCAGTACATACATGATATGGTCCCACAAACGCGTGGGTGTATGAGAGGCGCTAGGTTCGGGGGGCACCAACCTTGACCTTCCTCTGACTGCAGAGATCGCAAGCCCGGGGGATCCGAGTGTTCTTCTTCCCATTGGCGCTGCTACCAACATTGTTGGAGGGAGAGGCTTGATCAGATGGGGTGGAAGTCTGGCCATGAGGACTGCCAGCGGGCCCGTGGTTTGTGGGCACGGACGAGGGGTACTGCAGAGCTGGGGACACATTGCCATGGTGTTGTGGGGGTCGTTGGCTACCGGGGTGCCGTGTAGACTGTGACGCTCCACTCAGATTGTTGGTAGAGGGTGTGTAGGATAGCCCTTGGCCTTGTCTGGCATCGTTGCCATGTTGGGAGGAGGACAGACCATCATGAGCGTAAGCCGAGGGGCCTGGGTACTGGTATGGAGAAGTGGTACCCAGGTGAGGCTGAGGGAGCTGTGATGACCCTGGTGGAGGGGATGTGGATGAGGAATGGGGGCTCTGATGAAAACCCGTCATGTCTATCTGTGAGTAGGTAGCTGAACAGGCAAATGTTCGGAACAATGCCGGTTTTTCTGCGGTTATTTTTCAACTCGGAGGTTTCAAGACTCGGCTGTTACGGATTATGTCGAAACATTGTTTTGTTGTTGGTGAGGCAGGTCACTTTTTGCCAGTGGCAGCCTGAGCGAGGTACCAAGGGCTTAACACGCCTACGGGTCTTTTTGGACCAATGGTCTCACTAGCGCATGTTCCCCGGCCCTGGCTGCAGCACGATCCCAGGGCGTTCGATTCGGCGATCGGGCGCTAGGTCATATTTAGTCACCTACAGAGAAAAGCCTTACAACCTGGGTACCAAGTAGTGATGCGCAAGCCTGGAAGCCTCGAGTGGATGAGCTTCACTAAAAAGAAGAGAAGAGGGCTACATCTTAAATCCCAGAAAACGCATTTTGAGTAAACATTAAGCATACGCCCATCGTACCTTCCAGTGCCTACTACACTAGGTACCTACTTCTACCCATAGGTCCACACGGCATCTCAGCACAGGTACCTCCGGACCATTAGGTACTTCACATGAATTAAAGACTCAAGACGTGAATCTTACAATGACGCATTTGCACCAAACCCACGGTTTTCCATGCTCAGGGTTAACAAACTGTAGTGAGACACAATCGCGGATCTGAAAATTCAAAAGAATCTTCACGCTGAATCACTCAAATTGTAGTTACAGGTGCCTAGACCTCAAAATCATTTCACGCCTTCATTAGCCAGGCAATTGGAAATCAATTCACATTCCGAGTCTGAATAAGACATTATGTGCTCCTTCTCTGTCGGAGCAGATTTCACAGTCACCAAACATATCTCGCGTATTAAATCTGCCACAGCTAGCAGCAATGAGCCAGATAGCAGCGGTCACAGATTGGTTGACAGTACCACCCGTGGACGGAGCCACACCATTTTCAAACCCAGAGCCGGCCCCCAAAAACGCCTATATCACGCCAGTAAATTTTAGAATTCTAGTTTGCAAGAAAGCTCCCAAGATCCACAATATGAATTAGTCTCTCCAGTATTCCGTATGGGAACATGGAACATAGCCCTGCAGGCACTCGGTCGGGCTTGAAAACTTTTCTGTTCAAAGGTGCTCCATCTGATATAAATGTCAGTCAAGTAATTGCAGAAGCCCACGTTGAGAGCCGGAGACTTACCATTCTACTGCCCGGATGCGAATAGACGGATCCATTATCCCACACCTCGGCCTTGGGCTCCATCCGCTGCTGCCTACTCCTCTTCTCCCGAGCCCTGCGTTCCAAGAAGCATGTGGCCCACTGGAACGTCCATAGCATGGCCGCAATCAAGACCATCGCGAACGCCGCCCACGACAAGGCCAGAAACTTGCCGCCCCGGTAGGCATTAAGCCCCAAGCCCTCGCCATGCTCGCGCACCTTCTCGACCACGTACTTGCCGCCGATGGTGGTGATCAAATTGCCGATCAAGAGAAAGCCAGTACCGAGGTAGGCAGTGGCCAGGTTGCTGTAGAGAGCAATGTTCTTGGTGCGCCCGCTGACGGTCTTGTGCACGCCTGGTTCGGTGGTCCAGGTGAGCGCAAAGACGGCCCACACAGAGAGGACCATGGAGGCGCCGATGAAGAGACATGCGATGATGTACATGGCAAGGATGGCCTCGACGCAGGAGTTGAGCGTGTGCATGACGTCGTCGATCGATTTCGTCACA